CCTTTAGGGTGCTCCTCGAGTAAGAGCGTTTTCCCCCGCGGGTTGAGGCCGGCCCACATGAGGGAGTCGTGGCCCAGCCCAAAGACGAGGAAGTTAGCAGGGCGTTTGAGCGATTGGAGGACGTCGAAGGTGATAGTTATCTCGGAGAGGGACTGTTGCGGGACTACCTGGGAGGTGGCGTAGTGGAGTATCGCTTTCAGCTGGGTCGATGTGGGGCTAACACTCCCACCCCCCTGTTGCTGCCTCAGCATGCATAGGAAGTTGCTGCTGCTGTTCTCCGAGCTTTGGATGAGGGTGGCGATGAAGAGCGACCCTCCGATGATGCCCACGATCGCCGACACCCACAGGAACCACCCACGCTTCCTCATCCTCTCATTGCTCCCTTGCATTGCGTTGCTGCTCTGCATTCTCAGGCGCTGGAACTAAATTATTATATTAAGACACTGCTCATTAGGTGCTCGTAATTTCGCTAATGCGCTGCACCTCCGTACGCTTCGTGTAGCCTTCCCATTGGACCAGACACTCCTCGTTTTGAAATTTAAAAACCTAATTGAGAAAATGTTTGTCAGTCGTGTCGCCATCCTCGCACCACCACGTGCTGCTACACTATTCCTGACCCCGTCTATACTTTTTAAAAATTTTCCATTTTTCTCACCATATTAATGACTGCATTTTTTAAAACCATTTTTACTAATCCGCATTCATTAACCTTAAACATGATTATATTTGGTAAACAGTGTTCGACTTTTTCCTCGGATGTCATGTCCGCTCTTCCTTGCGTAATTCATTCTTCTTTTATTCGCCCATCACACTTTTGGGACAATCCTTTCTCTGACGAAGCCAAGAACAAAATAAAGTTAATTTTTACTTTCTTCTTTGTCTCGCCAGACCAGACGCGAGATCTTACTTCAAACATCGTTTTTGTAGCCAACTATTTTTTTTTAGGCTTTTTGACCTGACTAAATAAAAAAAAATACAAAATACACGAATTAAATTTTAAAAAAAATTATTTACTTAAATAGATAGTTTTGGACACGCAGGCACCAATGTGACAGTGAAAACGCCTGGGGGTGGGCCTTTTTTTAAAAAACTCCTCCCCCCAGGCACCTTCTTTTGGTGATGTGGCATGGATACATGTAAACGAAAAACGCATGGGGAGAGGCGCTTTGTTGACGTGGCAGGTGTGAGGAGAAAACGCCCCCCTGGGGGCCATGTACACGTGGCATGTGTGGGGAGAAAACGCCCCCCTGGGCGTCTTGTACACTTGGCAGGAGTGAGGAGAAAACGCCCCCCCTGGGAGCCTTGTACACTTGGCAGGTGTGAGGAGAAAACGCCCTCCTGGGCGCCTTGTACACTTGGCAGTCCTTCACTGACGGAGCCTGTGGGGTAGGCGTTTTCAAGATATCACCTCCCCCTGATTGCAACTTGGTGCATACTCGTTGTTTACAAAACGCCTCAATGCCAGGCGCTATCAAATTCAGAGTAGTTAAATGTATTGGGTTGCACAAAATTCATTTGTTCAGTTTGTGGCCCAGCTCATTTTTTATTTGGTGGTCCAGGTGCAAGTAAGTAATATATTTAAATTTTTGTAATTTAAATTTTAATTTTTATAATATGTTGTATGTTTGTATCATTGTTGATTTTGTAAAGTAGAGTGGTGTAAAAATTTAAATTTAAATTTTTTTTAAATATGAAGTTGAAGACGTAAGTTATACACGTGGAACGGACCGTTCTGAAAAGCACGTATTCAGAACGGGCCGTTCCGGTTTTTAAAGAAAGGTTGTTAATTTATGCTTTGGAACGACCCGTTCTCCTTTTAGAACAGGTCGTTCCAGAACAAAAATTAACCTCTGATGAGCTCTCTGAGAACGGGCCGTTCCGTTCTGAATTTCAGAACGGGCCGTTTTGGGTTCACAGATCAAACACCTTTGTTGCAATGAGAATGACCCATTCTGAAATTAGAACGGCCGTTCCAGTGCCCCAATTAATATTTTTTTAAATGAAAAAGTTTTATAATTTGATTTTTATAATTGAATATATGTATTTATTGCAATGTTAAAAATTGTGATATTATACTGAATATTTGAAATTTTAAAATTTGAGACACAATATTAATGAAATATTTATTTTGATTTGTATTTTATCATGAATGTCTCGTAGAGGTATTGATTACGTACCTGATAGTGACGAAGAAGTAGACATTGTTCCATCAAATAAGTATGGACAGATGAACAATTTTTGGCGTCAATGAGAAGTGCAATGGCAGCTAGACAGGCTGAAGAAGCTCGAGAACAGGAGCCATTGTCTCCGTTGTCACCCCCTACACCAAAACTTGGGGATGATGACGAAGAGACATCTAGTACACGTGACATTGGCCGTGTTATTCCTGGACCAGCTGGTTTGGTCGAAGCTACAATGAGGAAAAGGGAATCTGAAAATCCCTTGCCAACAACACAAGAGTTTTTGGCTGATTTTAACGGACCTGCGATGTTGGTGTTCAACTTTAACCCGTGGTGCTATGCTATGCATTATGTGAAATCTAGAGGTTTGTTTAGCATATTAAGTTTCATGTGTGTAAATTTAATGATGCAAATAATGTTAACTATAATTTTTATTTTTTTAACAATAGGTCTACCTGAAGTGACAACATTAATTAATAACAACCACAATTTAGAAAGAGTCCCAACAGTTGTTGCTTTTGTGGAGTCTATGACCCCAACTGGACAAGGAAATTATACTATTAATTTAAAGGTATAGTTAGTGAATTTGTTATACATTAAAAGAAAATATTTTGTAATTAATTGTAAATATTTATTTCAGGACCCAACTGCAACGATTGGTGCAAGCTTACATTACAAAGTTAAGCAACACCGACAATATGGGGAAGACATTGTTGTGGGGTGTGTGTTAATTCTGAAACAGGTAAAATTTGTTGTATAAAATGAAATTATATGTTATTTATGTGTTGAATTGAATTTGTTTGTTTTTTGTTTAGGTTGTCGTGTTTGCCCCCAGGCGTTTCCGTGATCCTTACTTCCTCAATATAACTAAAAATAATATAAAACGGGTGAGTAGTATTAGTTAAATAAAATTTATTTTGTAAGTAATATTGTTTAACAAATGTATGTTAAAATTTTTTCAGGTTATTCCGAAGGATATCTGATTTGATGACAAAAAGTATTTGTAATTTAGTTTTAGGTTTATTGTTAATTCGAATGGTTGTAATGTAAATTTTATTGTGAATTGTAATATTTAAATTTGGATAATATTGTTATTAAATATTCGTGAAAAAAAAATTTATTTATTAAATATTTATTGTGCACTTTAGTTATATGTATTTGTTGTTGTTGTTTTATAATTTTGTAATGAAAAAAAAATTGTTAAATTATGCACTTCATATTATTTTATTATTTTAGTTAGGGTCCATCTACCTATAAATATAAGTGTGTGTGTGTGTGTGTGTTTTATGTTCAGACACTTTCTCTTCAACTTAAGATAGAAATATTGTAGTAGTGATTTCGAAGAATGGGTTCAGCAACAGTGTTTGCTCTTGTGTTTCAAAATGTTCAGATATTTGAAACTCAGTACGGTCTTGATTATGCCATACAAATGCCATCTAGTGGGAGAGTTATCAAACTTAACGAAGACATGACACTTGTTGATTTGTTGAATGAGGTACATAGGAGGTTGATCAAAGGGGATAGCAAACGCATAAGTCAAGTTCATTATCGTTGTCCAGTTAGATATGAAGATGGAGGAAAGCAATATACTCCATATCCTTTAACCTGTGATGAAGATGTGGCATTCATGTTTCACAAATTTGCAGAAGACCCGAATGAATTACTACTGAATTTGTTTGTTACTTTTGAAGATCCGGAGCCTCAACAATTGCAGATGTGAAACATGGTCAATTCATTTGAAAGACAACTAAACTTCATGTAGGTTACCGTATACGTTAACAATCAATGTTTTATTGTTTGTATCGTTGTTTATTTTGTAAACAGTCAGTGTTTACTTTGTTAACTTCATGTTATTGTTGTCGTTGTTGTTAAACAATAGTCAAGTGTTTGTTGAAATCAATATGTCTCCCCTTGCTTTCCTAAGCATGATTCCATCAGGCTCACTCTATATTTAATTTCCAAAGTGATTACAAGTTGCATAGCCTAGGGTATTTATATAAGGAAGGAAGCATTAGGGTTGCATTTGAGAGTGCCTTGGCTGAAAAATGCAAGCCAAATGCACTTCAAACGAAACCTAAATTAACCCTAGATGCTACTTGGTGGCCAAGGATGGAATCTTTGGGTTTGGTTAAGCTACATCTAGGTGCATGATAAGACCATGCATCCTAGTGCCCTCCACTTGGGCCTAAGCCTTATCAAGTCCAAAAACAAATCCAATGCTACCAAAAATATATGTCTAGGCCTTTTTCTAACCCTAATAAAATACCCTAGTTATAAAATCCAATCCCTCAATTATAGAAAATAATGGAAATTGAAATTATCAACTAACACGTATTTGTAAAAAACATGATTAATTGTTATTAATTCCTTGTGATTTTTTATTTTTATTGGTTTGACTAAGTTAATTAAATTTTTGTTTAACAGGTCACTACTTTGAAATCACAATTGGATGAGCAAAATAAAAAATTTGAGGACCAAAATAAAAAATTTGAGGCAATATTTAATTTTTTTACGCAAAATTATCAAGGTCAATTTCCCCCCAACTTGGAAATGTTTCATCCTTCACCGGTAATTTTCAAAAGCCAAATAACTTTTTTAATATATTTCATTGTATAATTTTTTAAGTTTTAAATTATGATTTACATTTATATTTCAAGTTTTTGATCAAGGAAGTGTACCAACTAATGAAATAAATTCTCAACATGGAGATGAGCATATTTGATGGAATAACACTAAGACCAAGAGGTGATATATTGAGGAGGCAAGAAGAATAGGTTAGTGTTGAAAAACCATAGGAGGAGTGAGCCTACTTTTTGGGCTTTAGCTCCTAAGTTTTTATTAGCATAGCATTTATTTTTGTTCCTATTTTGCCCTTGTCTTTAATTTCCTATTTTACCCTTGTATTTTGGGTATCTTAGACATAGGATTTATTTTACTTGTATTTCCCATTTTACCCTTGTATTTTGGGGTGCCTTAGTCATAGGAATTATTTTTACTTGTATTTCCCATTTTACCCTTGTATTATGGGGTGCCCTAGATTATAGGATTTTATTTTATAACTAGGGTATTTTATTAGGGTTAGAAAAAGGCCTAGACATATATTTTTGGAATAAATGCTATGCTAATAAAAACTTAGGAGCTAAAGCCCAAAAAGTAGGCTCACTCCTCCTATGGTTTTTCAACACTAACCTATTCTTCTTGCCTCCTCAATATATCACCTCTTGGTCTTAGTGTTATTCCATCAAATATGCTCATCTCCATGTTGAGAATTTATTTCATTAGTTGGTACACTTCCTTGATCAAAAACTTGAAATATAAATGTAAATCATAATTTAAAACTTAAAAAATTATACAATGAAATATATTAAAAAAGTTATTTGGCTTTTGAAAATTACCGGTGAAGGATGAAACATTTCCAAGTTGGGGGGAAATTGACCTTGATAATTTTGCGTAAAAAAATTAAATATTGCCTCAAATTTTTTATTTTGGTCCTCAAATTTTTTATTTTGCTCATCCAATTGTGATTTCAAAGTAGTGACCTGTTAAACAAAAATTTAATTAACTTAGTCAAACCAATAAAAATAAAAAATCACAAGGAATTAATAACAATTAATCATGTTTTTTACAAATACGTGTTAGTTGATAATTTCAATTTCCATTATTTTCTATAATTGAGGGATTGGATATAAAAAAATAACAAAAATAAAAAAGGGAAAAATATAGATAAGAATTTGAATGAGGGTTGAAATTGAAAAATATTAATGGAAATTGAATTTAACTTGATCATCCTCTTTAATTAAAAATTAATCATTAGTAATTATGATATATTAGCATTAACATCACCAATTCAGTCTCAATCACAAATAATTAATTTAGTCCCAAAAAATTAATAGCAAATAAAGAAAAAGAAATACTTACTAATTGATAAATAATATGGGTACTTACTTAACATTTTTTTCCCATGTAAGACCTTCAAATAATCCATTTTGGACAGAAACTTCACACTACAGTTATATTGACTGGAGTCATCCAGATCAAGAGAGTTGGTATCGTGGTTTAGATGTCCCTAATTCTTGGAGAGTTGGCGATGAGCTGTATATCGAGATCGGCCACATAGGCCGATATTCGAGCTAAAAAGCTCGAGTAAGGATCTTCATCCTTCATTCTTCAGGTGGAGCCGAATCATTTTCGGCTCAAATCACAAATCCCTTCTTCACATCCCAGCAAAAGGTTTTCTTGACTTCTTCTTCTTCATCCATCACCCCAGAATTGTAAGCATCAAACGGTTTGGTCTTGGCAAATGCTGTCAATTGTTGATCAGCAAAATACATGCCAACTTCATACGTCTTATGGCCAGCCTCGAGAACCTCTAACCCTTCATCATCATTCCAGAAGAAAATCTTCTGGTGCACCGTGGAAGGAACAGCACCTACCCCATAGATCCACTCTCGACCTAGCAAAACATTAAAATTTGCCTTGGATGGCGTCACTATAAACATGGTGGTTCTCTTCACACTCCCAATCTGCACATCAAGCAGAATCATGCCTTCAGGGTGTGAAGACTGTCCTGCATAGTCAGAGATCATTATGTTGTGAGGCTTCAAATCAGCTAAGGATTTTCCAAACCTCTTCAGCATTGTCTTGGGTAGGATGTTCACAGCTGCACCTCCATCGACCAAGACCTTGTTCACCTCTTGCCCCTCGATCATCAGTGTTAACAATAGGGGCTTAAGATGTCCTTTCATTTCCTCCGTAGGTGAATCGAACACAGCAGAATTGAATTTGGGGATAACCCTCGAGATTTGATTGACCCATATGATTTTGGATTCATAGTTGGGGTCATCAAAGAAATCTTCTCGCTGCATATCCTCTAGTTCATTCACAGACTCCATAGCCCCAGCATACTCTGAGGGTAAAATGGAGACTACCCCACAAATATCTTCTAAGGAATCCTCGAAGCCACTTTCAAAACAATCAGTAATCATGTCTTCATCATCCTCGAGGAACTTTTGAGATGATTCCCCTCTTTGAGGTACAGGAATAGAGAAGCAGTTTCCCCCCAACACCTTCAAAGGTAGCTTTTCGCATCCTTTGCTGTCTCCTCCACTGAGTCTTAGTTAAATTGTTGAACGGTTGTCGAAAGCCACGCCCATATCCTCCAGTCATAACTCTATTAGGCCCTGTAATCGAATTTGGATCCTTCTCAGGCCTTCCTTGCATTGGGTGTGCAGCATAACCCATTACCTGTTTCCCTTGACCCATTCCACCAACTATGGGCTTCGGAGGTGCATTCCATCTTCCGGTTGGGACATTCGCATTCGGCACGAAAGTATTACCGAATCTCGAGGAGTTATACATCTCCATCTTTCCTACTGGAGCATTATACTGAGGCATATGAACCTGCCTCATTGTTAACCCAGCATTTGGTCCAGCATTAGTCTTGGATTTTTGTTGAAGACTTTCAGCTTTATAGTTCCTCATCATATCCGATTCTTCAAAGGCTTTAGCAGCAGCCCTATCGAAAACAGCACTGCATCGAGGACACAACATAACCTCTTTATCAGCTTCTTTCTTCTTTGACAAGAACTCAACCAAACTATCCCCTTCTTTTGGGTAGATAAGTTCCTGCTCCTTAGCGAAATCCTCCATTAATTCCTCTAGCTTTTCCTCAGAAATTGGTTCGATGTTCTCGTCATCCTTGACAGCAATATCCACCATGTTGATCCCCATTGGAACTGGTTTGACATATCTAGTATGAGCAGCGAATGGGTCTGTGTCAACTTTCATATCCTTCTCTCCGAAAGCAAGGCGACCATCAGTAATCACCTTTTTGATCAAATCCCTGAAGCGTACACAGTTGTTAGAGATCGGATGTTCACATGCAATAGCAGCTTGTGCACACGTTCGTATAGAACCATTAACTTTTATTGATGCCGCATATACTAACGAATACATCAAAGCGGCATATTCAGGTCAATGGTTCCCACTTCGAAGTGAAGAAAATATTGAACCTAATAATGGACATCGTATACTCCCAGATGAGACAATGATACGTACAAAGGGACGCCCAAAATCCACCCGCATTAGAAATGAAATGGATTGGAATGTATCTCAAAGGAGGCAACGATGTGGACATTGTAGGTGTGAAGGGCATAATAGAACCAATTGCCCTGTGCTGGCTGAAGATGTAATCAATAACGCATGACAAGTTTGTATGTTGCTGTGTATTTAAAGAATAAAATTCCTCCAAAGTTAATTCATATGTCAATTCTAGTTCAATTAAACTGTCTATTATACAATAAAATACTTACAACAACGTTTACAGTAACTTTAAAGCCTATCTCTGCCCTGCTCCCATACATCGTATGATCATCGCAGTCCAAACCACGTGGAAACATGCAAGGGTAAGCTAGAGACAATAAACAACTCATAACAATAGCATCAACATATAATAAATGAAAATAGAATTCTACTTTCAACTTATACATCTCGACTACTTACTAATTCAACAATAGACAACAAGTAAAAAACTTAGTTTCATCAAATACACAACATATAAATAACTTAAGCCAACAACTACTCAACTCATCTTCATTATGCAACTTAGCAACTTTACAACCTTATAAACAACTTCAACAAACATAAAACAATAGACATACAACATCATCTAATAGCAACAACATTTTCAACACATCGTACTTTACTCAAATTGGCCGCTTGTAATCAGTATAGCGCGGCCTAACTCCTATATCGTGGTCGCTTCATACACGTGTGCCTCGACCTTGCCGACACACGGGACCAACTAAGTCCTAGAGGAGAACAACATATCATCCACTCCAAGGGACAACTTTCCAAGGAGGGTTTTTAAACAAATTGGCTCTCAGAGCACCACAACTATCTCAATTCGCACAATGGGATGAGCAACTTCGAAAACTTCTCCTCTAGTCCTAGTGATCAAAAACTCATCTCACAACACAACCACATAGTTTTTAACACAATAACTCAACTATCATCTCATTCATATAACATTATATGCAACTTGAATGCAACAACACATGCAACATCAACTAATGCGTTGTCATGCATATACAACTAGGAGATCTCCAATAATTGAGGTTGAGCAGTCTAGGTGGCATAAACCATACAGAATTCAACGTTTGACCTATCTTAACTAGGTCAGGTATAGGGCATCGTTAGGAACTCTGAAGAGAACCAGGTATAGACAACAATAGGCGATTGCTCAGGTGTGCCACTTAGACTCGGAAGTCCAGTACTACTGTCAAGGCAGAAGGGTTTGGGTATGAACCTACCACGACCTTGGTCTGCATAACCAATCCACATATGGGGTTAGTCCACCCACTACCCTCCAAGTACCACGCACCCTCCAGTACCAAGTGAAAGACTACATCTCTAACTAGATACCTTACTCAATTTGGTCATTTAACCATGGCATGGATCAACTACTTCCACATCGCCCACACAGTACTAAGGGATTCAACTTTAAAAAAACTTTTAACTTATCACCTTAGTACTATGTATCTTAACATAGGACATATATCTTCACCATATGTCCCCAACATTTTAACTTTACAACAATAGGCAGCTTTACAACTTTACAACAATAGGTAACTTTACAACTTTACAACAATAGGCAACTCTACAACTTTACAACAATAGGAAACTTTACAACTTTACAACAATAGGAAACTTTACAACTTTACAACAATAGGCATCTTACAACAATAAGCAACGAAGAAAAAATAAAAAATAGGTACCCCAAACATATCTAAAATCTAAAAAATAATGAGTTTATTATACAATAGCCAGCAGCCACCATGTTCTTTCCAGGAAGTAGAACATCTTTTATAGTTGGTTCTGTTGGGATACAAACAAGTCCCACATTGATAAAATAAGACAAGAAATAACAACTTATATATAATACAAACATTCTTTAATGATTGAGAAACCTTTTGAGTGATGACCAAAAACATCTAGGTCTTCGAGGAAACTCAGGTATCTGAGGGATACAAAAGAGCTAGAGTGATCAGTTGATAAATATCCCCCGATCATGCGTAAAATGAACGCTCTAGTATAGCGTTCTAACTGTTCCTGGCTATGTATATGCTCAGAAACATCCGAAAAGTGCCGGTCAATCCAGCTCATCCTCAATCGACCGCTAGCAAGCATTGCCTCAGAGGGTGTCATGTTAAGAAGGCGCTGCACAAGAGCTCCTCAATCCATACTCGCGTATCCAGTAATGGGTGCCCCAGAGATCTTCAACCCAAGTAAAATTGCAACATCCTCCAACGTGATAGTACACTCACCGAAGGGCATGTGAAACGTGTGGGTCTCTGGTCTCCATCGCTCAACTAACGCAGATATTAAATGATTATCCACAGGAAAGTAACTAATCTGCGCCATCCCCATAAAACCAGCCCTCTGTAGAAGATCCTGAACAACAGCTGGAATGTCACCACCACGCAACTCTGATTGTTTTGCACTTCTAACCTTCAAAACCCTATCCTCAGCTCCATTCCATATATGCTCAGATATATGGAATGGTTGAAGCCTTAATAATGAATCATCGATGGGTCCTGCATGAATTATCTGTCTAGACATCCTGATATAATTCAACAAACAAACAAATTAAATATTAAACTCAAACAACTAATTAATTATAAATTTTATAAATGCCTAAATACCTAATTTAATCCCTCATAATAATTCAAAATTTTCAATTGAAATCCTTCATTACTGCAATGAGAACGGCCCGTTCTGAAAATGGGCCGTTCTCATTGCACAAAAAGTGTCTAAATTTGGGTTTTGGAACGGGTCGTTCTGAAAGCAGAACGACCCTTTCTGACCCCTTCCATTTTTCACTAAATGAAACAACCAGAACGGCCCCACAACGGCCCATTCTACTTTCAGAACGGGCCGTTCTGAAAGTAGAACGGGTCGTTCTGATTTCACAACAGCCCGTTCCAGATCCAAAATAACACCTGTTTAGTTCAATCAGAACGGCCCGTTCCAAAAACAGAACGGCCCGTTCCACACCCAGAAACCAGTATCGAATAGCCCTAAACATTTTGTATTTAAATTTTTTTCTAACTTTAAAATAAATAAACTAAAAGACATACCTGATAACAACGTGTAAATATACTTTTGTGGGCAATCAAATTTTTTAAGACCACTGGTAAAACCGTTTTCTCAAAGCACCGAGACTTCAAGCGTTTTCTCAATATCTTGTGATGTGCCCCTTTACTCTTCTGGACACCATTTAAACACAAAATGCGGGGGGGACCCCTGCCACGTGTAACAGATGGCGCCTAGGGGGAGGAGCTTTCAGCTCAAGTGTGCCATGTAAGCAAAACGCCTGGGGGGAGGCGCCTTCAGTGTGTGCCACATCAGCACACATGGCGCCTGGGGGGGAGGCGCCTTCAGCTCATTCGTGCCACGTGTATAAAACGCCTGCCCCCCAGCGCTTTTAGTTCACCCTGCCACATCAGCATACAAGGCGCCTGGGGGGAGGAGTTTTCTAAAAAAACGCCCACCCCCCATGCGTTTTCACTGCCACGTTGGCGCCTGCGTGTCCAAAACTACCTATTTGGGTAAATAGTTTTTTTTTTAATTTATTTCGTGTATTTTTTTTTATTTACACAGGTCAAAAAGCCTTTTTTTTATCACCCTTTTATTACTGTTACTTAAAAGCTACTCTCAATTTTGATAGCTCAGAAAAACAAACTTAATGTGAAACTCTCCAAAGAGATTCATTACCATATTCAACTGGAGATATTTCTTGATAATAAAAATAAAATGAGAAACGACACAATTTTCTGCCATAATTACCTTTCTATTTTTATTTTCACATAATCATCTTAACACTCAATTTTATTTTATTTTTTAATTTCACTCTTTGTACTGGGGTCCTTAATTTCAAGTCACAATTCACTATCATAGTAAAGAGTACAGATAAACATGGGGCAATACCGTAAAACTAGCTTCCAAACTAAGCAGGTACTTTGTGATTACAAATAGCTCTTAATGTATGTTTCAATATTAATTATCTTATTTTTAATCATCTGAGTCTGAGTGACATCTTCCCGATTTTCATATCATTATGCAATACTGGTTCTAGATATTTAAATTTAGGAATTTGAACTTAATCATGATGTGACATCTCCTCTCTTTTACTTTCAAAAACATATTTCTTTTGTCTCTTCATAAAATTACATTTCACTTACTTTATTATCTTACTTCTATTAACTAACCAAAACCTATTTGTTTCTTATAAGTTTGTCTTTATTTAAAAATAAATAAATCACATCACACCTTAAAAAAATGTTATATAAAATAAAATATTTAGACTTAAATCTTATAAATTCTTTAAAAAAATAAATTTTAAATATAATAAAACTCAATATATTTTCACTTCATAAAGTCAAAAATTGAGTGATAAGAGAATTTTTTTATAGCTAGACTATTTCAACTTGTAATCGGGATATTTATAAAGGATATTACTTGATTTAGTCTCTACACACTTCTTGCTATAGACTAGTAAACAAGTAGATTGTCTCAATCTGTAATCAAGATGTGTTATTTGAAAAATTATTGTATAAAATTACTTTTTATAACCCACTTAATTCTTCTACTTAGAATAAGTCGTTATCTCCTCAACTATGAATTCATATTCCACATCAAATTTAATCATTAATGATTATAATTGAGTATCAAAATAAGTTACCCAATAATAATACAAATTTTTTACAAAATTTCTACTAACTACTTGTGCAACTAATATACTTGCCAAAATTGCTTAACATCCATCACGTAAATACTGTACTAACTTTTTAATGATGTGAACAAGAAAAATTATTAATCATCTCAACCTAACTACAACCTAATGCCTAGCTTAGCATCATATATCAATGTATATATAGCATCTTAACTTAATAACATTTCAACTAAGGCAACAACAACTAAAAAATCAAGCATACAACATCTAACAACACAACATCTCATGCGTTGTCACAAATTATAACTAAGAGATATTTTACATCACAAATGAAAAGTGTAAGTGACTTGACCCTATTAAACCAAATTTTAACAGTTTGATCCCTCTAACTTATTATGTCAACAACAAATTTGGATATCAACCCACAACACAACATGATTTTTTGGATTTCATCACTTGAATTAGGAAAGTTCGTTACTCGTTGTTAGGAATAACAGTTTAGGTATGGACCCATTACAATATTGACATTCATTAATCAAGTCATCTATGAGTATAGTTCGTTAACTATGCTGACAATATCATACACATTTCTAATATTTAGTTAAAAATTTTATCCATCAATTGCATGTCTTACTTAAAATAACTAAGGACTTAAAGGAGATTCAATATTCTACTCCAAGAGACAACAATAGTCGATGAAAGTTTTTCAATGGAATTCTTATAACACCACAATATATATCCAAACCATTAGATATTTTAACTTTTAAAATAGCATTTTATTTTAATATTTAAGTTAACAACATACCACAACTAAATTTACAACGCAACTCCACACAACTACTATGAAAAATATTGTACTGACTTGTTAACGATTTCAAGAAGAAAAATTATTAGATACTGGCTATAAGAAAAAAAAGATAATAGAATTTAAAAATATATATATATATAAGCATTAGTGACGGATTTAGAGACCAACTTTTCATTACTAACTTGAAATTTTGTTACAAAATTGGTCACTAATCCCTCACTAATTCTTGGTGGCTGTTTTCTTAATTCTTTTAAGCCACTTGTTCTTTGCTGTTTAGCTTTGTTCATACCTTGTATTTGGCCATTTAAAGGAGTGTCTTGGGAGTGTCTTTGGTACACAACCATCTCTCCTTAGGATTACAACTTTCGTTAGTACTTGGTGGGAGTGGTCCTTGATTGATCTTTGGTATCTCTCAAGCTCTCACCCTAGGACACGTTTAGGTAGTTTAA